ACCCTGTCCGCGTTCCCGCAGGGCTACCCCCACGCGACCTCGAGCGAGGGGCGCTCGCGTGGGATGCCGTCGAACGGCCTCTTCATCTCCTGCACCGGCAGCGAGAGTTTGGGCCGGCATTCCCCCACCCTGGAGCTCTCCACGACCACGCAGCGCACGATCGACCCGTTCAACCATTCCATCTCCCCCTCCAGCATGGCTTCGTTGTTCCCGACCTCCCAGCTCGAGCAGGCGAAGTCGCGAAGCAACCAAAGCTCCGGGCAAATCCCCCATTTCGCGCTCGCGTCGCAGCCCAGCGGCGCGCGGGCGAACGCCTCCTCGGTGGAGGCGAACTCGAACCGCTCGATCGACCTCCACGAGGCCAAAGGCCCCCCCCACGCGCGGGCCAAGAAAAAAGGCCGCCTCCCGCGCGTTAAGCGGCCCTCCGTCGTGGGCTTCACGAAGCGGGATGGCTCGCCCGCACACCACCTGCACCCCGCCGCGGAGCCCAAAAAGGACGGCGACGAGAAGCATTTTCGATTTCCCTTCATCTACGACGAGGCCGCCACACAGGAGGAGGTCTTCGAGGAGAGTATTTTGCAAATCGCCGATGAGGCCTTGCTCGGGCGGAATGTCAGCATCCTATGCTATGGGCCCACCGGCAGTGGCAAGACCTACAGCATGGTGGGGAGCCATCGCAGTAAATTTACTGCGATGGCGACGCCGTCGTCGAAGTCGAGGCGGCCGAGGTCGGGTGATCGCTTAGCGCAGTCCTCCCCTTATCGGGATCGCCCCGGGGAGGGGGGGGATCCATCGGCTTCGAGCGATTTCACCGGGGGGCGCCGCCGCGCTCGATCGGGCGAGTTCGAGGCGGCCTTTTGGGAGTCCAAAGCGCGGCTGCCCAACCCCCTACGCGGCGCGCCGAGCCCCGCCTTGGCCCTTGTCGAGCAGGCGATGCGGTCGAAAGAGGCCCTGTTGAGCCCCGACGAGGGCTATTGGGGGGGCGGCTCTGGGGACGATCGGCCGGAGGGGCCGCATTCGGCGGCGAATGCCCGCCAACCGCGGCCCCGGCATGGCCCCTCGCCGGCCCCGAACCGCGGCGATTCGAACCCCGGGATCTGCGTCTCGGCGGAG